TGGAAGACCTATGTGCCCTGTGCTTCCCAAAGCCGCGCCTCAAACTTTCACCAATCTGAAAAGAAAATGTCGATGAGATGAGGGAGGATTCCAGCGATCGACGACCGCATGGTGACTACTTCCGTCGTCTACTACCTGGCCTGACTACTTCCGTCGTAAAAACATTATTTCGCTCTGCGAAATAAGTGGGCTTGTTTCCCCTTTTTCAGTGCACTATTTTACAGTCTACATTAGTGAAAGTGCTTCTTTTTTCAGGAGGGGGGAGGGGTCTCGAAATTGGCAACAGAATTCGTGTCACCCCTTGAGGATGACATATCTGTCGTTGTGTTAAAGACGTGTCACGAACTCGGCAGTATAAGAATTTTTAAAAACAAAATCATCACAGGTGAGGTGTGACACATTTTGTGTTACAAATTTTCTGGGATATTTCCGAAATCACTGTGATAATTTACGGTGTGGTTGAGCTTCCCGTGCTTTGAAGCGCTGAAAGGGGCCGGGCGGTACGACGCACCCCATTGATCCAGCTTTCCGTCGCCGCCGTCGTAAAGTAGAGAGCACCGCGTCTGCGTACCCTCCCCGTGACTTTATGCGGACGCGCCATTGGGAAGCACCACGCACGCGAGCGGGCGTCCCGTTCCCCCGTGCTCCCGGCAGCTAAGTGCGATTGTCAGCCCCGCCGAGTAACGGCCAGCCCGTCTGCGGGGGCCGCAGCGCCCGCCCTTTCGCTGTGTGTGTGTGTGTGCGTGTGCCGTCGCGAATGTCGAGGGCGAGGATGACCGCGGAGCGGCCACGACCGCGGGCCCCCGGGCGCCCTACGCCGAGCAATGACCACAAATGCGTGACCCTGCGGCACCGACACCACCCGCCCGCCGGGCAGGGTAAGCCCCTTCCCCCGCCTCGCTCTCCTAACACGCTGACCTCCAACACACGACCTGGCCTAACCCGCCCCAATGCGCGCGCCTCCGCATTCACAAAAGACCGCTGACGAGGACGAGACGATATCCTCCTCGCCCTGGGACCAGAAGCAACGAGGTGGCCGCCGAAGTGCCGGTCGAAGCGCCCGCCAGTGTCGGGTAGGCAACGTGCCACCCACGCATGTTCGGCGGGACGGTATCGCCACGCTCGCGGGCGTCAGTCGGATGTGACCTCACTCGACACGTCTCAAACGGCCCGGCCGACAAGCGAAACACAAGTACACATGTTCAGGTTGTTCAGGTTGCCCACCCTCAAGGCACACAAGGCGCAGGTTGGTGCGCGCGCGGACCCACCCGTCCGCGGGCCGCCGGGTGGGTCCGCAGGAGGCGAGGAGGCGCCGACCAACGACCAACGGTGTCGGGACTTATTGTTGACAACATCCACCGGTCACGCCGCCGCCGCTTTACAGCTTCACGTGGTAGCGCGGCGAGTGCGGAAACGTAGTCCAAGACCTTACCATTTCGGCAAAAAATACCCTTTCTTGTAAATTTGAAGTGTTGGAAGTTCAGGTGAGGCTGCGAGATGCGAGAAAGGGTCGGGAGTCGCGCCGTTGGGGATCCTAACCTATACCCTGAAACGATGTTTTGTTGTTTTCCGCGACGGCCCGTGAAGTTCGCGGACTCTGGCTCGCTTACATTAACCGCCCGTTTTTTCGTGTGTCTCGCAGCCATGTTTTTGTTTTCGTCGTGATGGTGCTGACGACGGGGCTGCTGGAGGCTCCCAGGCCATCCGCGCTGGTCGGCGCCATGCCCGTGCAGCCCGCCACCGTCCTCGTCCCCGCCCCGGCCCCAGCCCCGGCGGCTCCCCCGGGGGCGGCCCCGCCGGCGACGGACGCGCGTGACTGCGGATCGTCTTCGTCCTCGTCCTGCGGCTCGTACAGCGACCACGAGGACAACGAGGACGAGCCGCCAGCGGTGAGTCGGCGCGCTACCCCCCGCCCCCGGGAGACTGGAGGCGCTGGCGCGGAGTAGAGCTGTCTGACTGTGTCTGCCCCGCAGCGCCTCACGCTCCAGGATGACGCGGTCCCCGCCACCGACGCGTCCGCCTCCGAGTGGGAGGCGAGCGGCGAGGAGGGCGAGGCCGGCGAGGACAGCTGCGACGGGGAGGGCGAGGACCGCGACGACGGGGGTGGCGTGCACTCAGTCGAGGACCTCGCCGGGCCACCGAGGGGAACCACCACCGGCCCCGTGACGGCGAGCAAGACCGCCTCAAGTAAGCGGGCCGCGGGGCCGCGGCGTGGCGCTACCCCGCGCCGCTGGGACTTCCCCGGCGAGTTGCGGCTCGATTCGACCCGCCGCGCCGACCAGGGCCAATAAAACTTGTAGACTAACGGCGACAGGGGGCCGTCAATCGTGTCGTAAATCACACAGTAAAAATGTGCCGGCTTCGGAACGACTTGCAAAGCATTCGCGTGTTGTAGGCATATTCCAGCTATCGCCGATATGAACGCTTTCTTTGAAATGTAGTGATTGACCCAATAATGTGCAGTGTGTGTGTGTGTGGGTATGTAGTCTTTCACCACCCACCTCCACCCCTCAAGCTCGTAGTGACTTTGTAGTGCTTGGCTTGCAGGATCATCATGGGTGGCCACGGTCCTCGGCCGGATCCTGCGGCCTTTCAAGTGGAAGTCCACCTCCGGTAAGAGAGAAGGTTGCCGTTCGCGACATTGGCTTCTCTACAACTAGTGTTTTTTCTTCAGTCAACCAGCAGCACCCACCTCCTTCATTGGAATTTTTCTTCGTGATTTTTATAGCTGACGGAAAAAGCCCCCCCCCCCCGGAAATTTCTCTGATTAGTTTTTGTGTTGACACAGGCCTCCACCTGCAGGGCAGACCGGGTGAGCAGCTGGGCCCGAGGAGGGCGTCGTTGTGCGCGCTCCCGAAGGTGCCGCCGGCCGCGTCGCCAGCGCAGCACGCGCAGCACGCGCCACCCGACAGGAGGATCCCGCTGAAGAAGCGCGAGCAGAATGTCCCGCTGGCCAGCAGGAGGAAGAGGAGGCGGAGGAGGAGGTAAGCGCAGCCCGGCGCAGCCTCAGCCTCGAGCACGTAGAGCAGACCGTACACCCCCAGGGGTACTTCACTGAACAAAATCAGCGTACACCCTCAAAAACACAAAGGAAAATCAGAAAAAAATTTCAGAGAAAGAAAGAAAAAACATTTTTAAAAACTGGTGTGCGCTTGATTTAATAGTGAAGTACCCCTCGCCGTAGACGCTTGGCCAAGTGTTCTGCACAGCGTGCCCCCAGCGCCGCCCGCGAGCCAGACGCAGGCGGCCCGGCCCTCCTCGAGGACCGCCCCCACCAGGACGGTGCGGGGGTCGCGTGGGCCTGGCCTCCGCCGCAAACTGGCCGGGGGCTCAACCGCGACGGAGGGTTCCTCCGACGAAGAGGGTGCGGCCACCGCGGCCACGGCCATGACCGTGCCGGTTGCGGAGCACAGTGGTGTGTGGTCGAGGACTCGTTCGGGATGGCTACTGTGACAAAGCATGTGCTAAGGACTCGCGCGGACTCAGACCGCAGTGCGGAGGACGTGGAGCTGGAGGTGGCCGTCGACGCTTCGTTCCCGGAGGCGGAGGTCGCGGCCGAGGCCAACCCCGCTGCCGGCCCGGCCAGCACGGGGTCGCGCTTCGGGATGCAGAAGGGCCTGAAGCTGTGGCGGCGGCTGTCCACCTCCCTGGGGAAGGCCACCTCCCAGCCCGTGACCGCCGCCACGGCCGCGGACACCAGGGCAGCTGCTCCCCTGCGGACCCGCTCCGCGACGAGCCTCACCGCCCACCCGGAGGCTCTGGAGGGAAGAACACTGAAATCCCCGGAGGACACGGACCTGCAGGAGGGCGCACCGGAGGGCATATCCCTGGAAATCACGGCACCGGATGACGCGGTCCTAGAGGGTAGAGCCCTGGAGCGGCGCAGCGCCGACAGCAGCGTGCCGGGCTCGCTCTACCACTCCAGGACGACCAGCCAGTCGCGCCTCAGCAGCCTGGCGGTGGGCGCGGGCGCCGAGGCTGACGAGGGCGCCGACCCCGAGGACAGGCGAGTGACGGAGATGGCTCGAACTGATCTCATGCTTCCGTGTCCAGCCCCTCGCGCTCCCCACTCTGCCCGCCCCACGCCCCGCCCCTCTGAGGGCCGCCTCGTCCCGTCCCGCCGTGATGCATCGCTCCCCCGGAACACGGGGTGCACAGCGCCGACCGAGGTGCTCGACCTCCGACTGGGGCGGAGCGTTGGCCCCCCAGGCCCAGGCCCCCGCATAGGTTAGGTCGCGCCCCGCTGACCACCGCGTCTGTGGGTCCGCGCGGGTGAGGCGAGGCGTCAAGGGTGGCGGGGCTGGTCCCGCCTCTACCCCCTACAACAGTGCGATTCGAGCTTTTAACCTGGGGCAACACCTCGTCCCCCTCACAAACCCCCCGTGTCGTGCAGGCGATGAAGTGAAAGGTGACGTTTTGGGGTGCTGTCTCTCTCCGGCGGCTGTCGCCGGTCGCTGTCGCGAGCAGCAGCAAATGGCGAGACGTTTGATTTAAACGAGCAGACTCAGTCGGTCAGATCCCCCCCCTACAGGTCTGTGTTCACGTCCAGAGCCACGCGGCAGACCCGCGGGTCACGCAAACCACGGAGCGCAAGCAAGCACTGCGTCTCCAGGGCGCTCAACCGTCAGGACTCGTCTCACCTGATTGCTGTCTTTGCTTGCTTGACTTGTCAAAACCCTTGCAACGAACATGGGGCAAAAAAAAAAAAAAAAACATCGTGCAGTGGAGCTTCTGTGGACACGCAGAGACGGGCTCGGGTGTAACCGCCACCCTAACGCCGGGGCGCTCTGCGGCTGTCTCACTTCGTTTCTAGGCCAGCCACCTTAGCAGACGAGTCGATCAGGATGCACTTCCCTCTGCGGCCTGCCCAGACCACCCTGGGGTTGTATAGGGAGGCGTTCGGTCGACGACCCCCTCCGGATCCACTTGGGAAATGAAACATGAATCGACCTCGTGGTTGGAGCAGGATTTGATCGGGGGGTGAAGAGGGGGGTTGATACGCGCCCTGCTCCCCCCTCCCACGCACGCACGCACAGTCACAGTCCCTCTGGTTGTCGGTCCCGTCCTCATTAGGTCAGCACCCCTTACTGGGTCAGCGCTGCTGCTGCTGCTAGCTAGTGCCAACCCCGGGCCGGGCCGCAGCCTTTGAAATGCGCACCCCTCGCCCCACCTCTCACACCCCGCGCGTCGTGCGTTGTACGCATTCGTATGGTGTGAGTAATGATTGTCCATGGAGAGCGGTAGTTGGGGGGCCCGGCCCGGGGGGGCTTACGAGCCCCTCGGCGTGAAGGGGAGTGGGGCGCCCCGCGGCACGGTGCGGCCATCCTGAGATTGGCTGTCAGAGCGGGGCGCCGCCACCGCCGGGGCGTCGCTGATGACACGTGCACCTTCCTCCTCCCCTCCCCCAAACAATAACCCCTCACCTGGGCGGGGCGCGCGGGGCGGCCCCACCCTCATGGCGGCCTGCGCCGTCTCCATGGAGTCCACGCCCGTAGAGCGGTGTAACGAGGCCCCCCGCCGCCTCCCTCCACCCCCCACCGCCGGCACGCCGCACGCAGGGAGCGCCCCGCCGCCGCCCTCGTCACTACACAGCGGCGCGCCGTCGGCCCCGGGTCGCCTCCAGCTTGGGTCGCTTGGCCCGCGCGCTCGTCGCGGCCCCCCGGTGATGCTGCCAACGCGGTCCTCCCCGCACGTCCTCCCCCTCCTCCTCCCCGCCGCGTCGCTGTCCTAGTCCTCGCGATGGTGTCCGCGGCCGCGTCCTCCCCGGCGCGCTCCGTCGTGCCCGCCGCCAGCGTTGTCGTCGCTCCAGCGCATCCCCGTGGCAAGGCCGCCGTCGTGGCCACGGCCGACGCCGCCGCCGCCGTGTCCCGGACGCCGAGCGTGGAGCAGGACGCCGACCTTTTGGACACGACATCAGCGCCCGAGGCCGAGGTGGTGGCGGAGGAACCGCCGCCCGGGGAGGACAGTTCCGCCCAGGAGCAGGTCGTCGAGGTTGTGGTCGCCGCCGCGGCCAGCGTCTCCCCACCGGAGTGAGTAGCAGCCCGCCGCACCCCCTGCCGTGGCGTTCGCCATTAGCTGCAAGCACGTGGCACTTTAGGGTCTCCCCAGGTGAGAGTGCGGGCGCGGGGTGTTAGGGAGGCCGACTTTAGTTGTTTGCTTCGCGCATTTAAATGCGTGAGGCTTACGCCGCGTGCAGCGCCGTTCAGCAGCAGCAGCAGTAGCAGTGCACTCGGGGGTGCAGGTGCTTGTGGGTGGGTGTTATGGTTTCTAACAAACTCGTCGCGCCCTCCCACACGCGCCCTCGGTCCCCGTGCGCGTCAACCCTCGGCCCCTCGCCCCTGCCACGCCTCGCCACGCCCCGCCAGCAGCCCCTCCCCGCGACTACTTGCGTGTGGCCGAGCTCTGGCCTGGCACCCAGGGAGTTTATACTGGCGCCATGTCGGCCACATTTTTTCCCAGCCCGGTTGTGTGTGTGTGTGTCTGTGTGTGTGTGCGCGCGCGCGTGTTGCCGCCACATAGAGGTGATACTGCCCACCCCACCCCCCTTACGGTCAGGCGGTCAAGGATACGCGCAAAGTGGAGCAGCGGGTTAATTCTCCTGACACACACTGGAGCACCGCTGCTGCAAGGGCGACCGGCGTTTTAAATATGTCGTGACGCGATAAGTACCTCCTTTTATATTTT